ATAACAGGTTAATGGGTATGGTTTGAAGGTATGTTCAAAACAAAATGTAAAGAAAGGGGGTGAGGCCTGGAGGACTCAGGGAAGGCATCTCAGAGGAAGGAGCCTTTTCACAGAGACGAGAAGGAAAATTGGCATTTTTCCAGGGAGTCAAGTGGGAAGCAGCAATTCTAGGCAGAAAAACAGTCTCTGTAAAGGCTCAGAGGCCTGGGAGGCCAAGGCTGTCGGGAGGCATTCAGGGCATGGGGGGATCACTGGAGGAGGAGGGAGGAAGTGGAACTGGGGAGAATGAGCATGGTAGCCACCCAGAGGCTAAGCTGGCAAGGGCCCCGGTGCTTGGACTCTATGCCAGGATGCTGGAGCACATATGGGTGTCCCGGGCAAGTGACCCAGGTGGTAGTGTGAGGAGTTAGTTGAGAAGGGGGCAGGCTGGAGGCAGGAAGACCAGGAGAGGTAGTCCTGGTGGCATATGGGGAGTTCCTCGACTAATGACACCGGAAGTCGGGTCAGAAGAGAGTGTGTCAGCAGTCGTTAGAAAGCCACTTCTCAGTGGGAAAGAGTTTTTCTCTATCTTGCAGGTGGAGAAGCAAAGTGCTTTCTTCAAGGTAGCATGAAAAGTCACTGGTAGCTGTCCTCATCCATCATTACCCATCCTTAACTAGGCTGCAGATTAAGAGAATGGAGTCAAATGAAACCTTCTGAAACCCTCCTCTGCATTTTGTCCTGTCCTGTCCGTTTGATGTCTAGAATGCGAAGGATAACCTACCACCAAAATTGGGCCTGAGAAACTTGTTATATCCTGCTGTGAGGTTCTCAAAGCCAGGCAGGGAAAATTTGTCACTTCTGCTGACCTCGATGTTAAACTGACTCCCCTGGACACACAACCTGGAAAACAAAAATGGATTTTGTTTTGTTGAGTGTGCTTGTTTATGTGTGAATAAACATGCGTGCATGTAAACTCGAGCTTGTGTTTACGGGAACGCATGTGTGGTGCCTGTGCACCAGCAGTGACCTTCCTAAAGAGAAACCTCTTAATTTTCAGCTGTGAAGTCAGCATTGCCATTTTATGACCCATTTCCAACAGACCAAAATGTGGTCATCATTTGGGAATGCTCCAGGTGTTTCCTCAAGAAACACAAACCTCCATCTACAACCACTTTGGAAATGTCTCTTCTCTAACTAGAATCAATGGTGGGAAGTTCCATCGTTCCAGTGCTCCAGGCAGGTGAATGGCCTGGGTTTTGCCTTGTTGTAGCTAAGCAGGAAGAGCTTCCACTCACCCACCCTGCACCTCGACCCCATGCCTGTACACAAAGCGACTCAGACCAAGGCCATTCTGGGGTAGCAGAACTCACCTCTCAGTGAAGACACACAGACACAGGAAGGTCAACTGGAGACTGTAGTCCATGTTGGATTGTTGCTCACTCAGAGGGGCTGAAAAGGAATCACCTGGGGAAACAGAGCAGACAAGGTGGACGGCAGCTGCTCAGCAGGCTCACCAGTTCCTGGCCGGCCCCTTGGCCCTGTGGGTGGCGGGTTCCCCATTCTCTCAACATGCCTGGGAGCAGCCTCTTTCCATACCGTTGGCAGCTCCTGCTCCTGTATTCTCTGGGAATGACTTCATTTTGGAGGATTATGATTTATAGCCATCCCCAAAGAGGGCGGAGAGCTTGCTTAGAAAGTGGTTTATCAGCCCCAGAAACCCAGCCCGTCCATCCTGGGACCCCGAAGAATATTCTTACCCTGTCCTTGTCCTGACTTTTCCAGGATGGACACCCCCAACGCCACACTCACCCTGACCAAGCCAGATATTCCATGTGTCCCATGGTCTAGGCTTGTGAGGCCAGTTGTGTGGGTAATGAGAACCTTCCACGTGCCAGGTAATAAATTAGCTACCTTCCCACAGATATCCTCACTTCATCCTCACAATGGCTTTGTGTGGTGGGTCAGTTCCTGTGTCAAGATGAGCAAACAGAGGCTCATGGAAAGGATACTTTGCTAGTAAACGCCAGAGGAGACTTTGAATCCAGGGCTGGCTGCCTACTCTCTGCCTTTCCCCTCTCCATAGTTTCTTCCTTCACAAGAGAGGCCTTAGCCTTAGGACACCCGCTGCTCCCAGACCTTTGCCTGATCCCTGAGTGCCCTGAGGCTGTCCAGCTGGCCTGTGCTCTAGAAAGCATGGCCGGGGCTGGCCTCCTTAGGTGAGGGGCTGCTGTCAGATGTCCCTCTGGGAGAGTGGAAGGCAGCCAGGCAGGGTCTGTGGCCTGTCAAGCTGGTGACAGCAGAAGGGAGGTTCTCAGGCTCAGGCCCTATTCCCAGACAACCCCAGGGTGGATCACCCCCTTCTCTGTGAAACCTGGTAACCCTGTGAACCCGACTACTTCCTACTAATAGAATCTAGCCGTTCTAGAGCTTAGGATGTGATTGAGCCATTCATTAATATTACTTTACGTACAAAACCAATATGTGTTCTTTGTAGCAATGAAAACAAAACAGACATGTATAAAGTTAAAAGTGTAAGTAAGTCCCAATGTCAACAAAGGTGCATCACTTATAACAAATGTACCATTCTGGTGTGTGGGATGGGGACAGTAGGGAAGGCTGTTTGTGGGGGAGGGAGGCCCACTTTTGCTGTGAACTTAAAACTGCTCTAAAAAATAGTCTATTTCAAAAAGCAAAAAAATAAAACAAAGAAAGTGTAAGTCCCTCCCTCATTTCTTCTCTCTAATCTCATACTTCAGAGATAACCACTATTAACAGTTATTTTACCCATATATATGTAAATATAATAGATATTTGTATATACATGTATTTTTTCATGAAGAAAAAATTAAAAAGCAAAATCAGGGCAATAGCATGCATCTTTGGCTATTACTTATGTCACTTAATTAACATAGCAAATATTCACTACTTAATACATACTTAACTAAACATATCTGGAATCCTTACTACTCTTTACAGTATTTACTCCCATTCTATTCATTTTACAAACAAGAAAGCTGAGGTTTAGAGAAGATAAGAAATGTCCCCAAGGCCATGTAGCAAGGTCGGGGCAGAACTGAACCCAAGCAAGCTGCCCCAGCGTTTTCCTCCCTGCACCATGAAACACGCTCTTTCCCAATGTCAGTGACACCTTCCCTGTCATTCATTCTTTCCAATGGCTGTAAGGTGTCTCAAAATATACAGGCATCATTTACAGAACACAAGTCCTATCATGAATGCAAAGTTATTTTTCTAAAGTTTTTACTGTGACAAAATGAGTAATGAATATCTTTGTACATAGTGAAGCTCTTACAATTCTGCTCTCTGTCATGTTAGCTCCTCTTCTCTCTCATCCAAAATATCAGCTATAAAATCGACATCACCAATCTACCCATGATCATATTCACACTCTCCCTTCGGCCCACCTCTCCAATCCCTGTCCTTCTCCCTATCCCAGCACCGAATTTAAGAGGGTCTGTGGAGGGTCTTCCATCTCCTCCATCCCTTCATTCAATTTTCCTAAGGCTGTATGAGCTTCTTCTATGAACTTGACACATGTAGGCACTACGAGAACTCCCTTCTAGTAGGGGAGAGAGAGATATAAGGGGTGAATTGGTGTTCCCATACTACAGTACAGCCAGAGGTCAGAGGATATTTAGTATGCAAAGGAATCGAGGGTCAGCTCCGTTGGGGGATAGTGGGACAGTGCCAGGATGGAAATCACAGAGAGGGTCATTTGATTTTTGCAGAGTATGCTGTATTTGTAGGGTGGATAAAGAAGGGGGGCCCTCCAGATGCTGGACTAGGCTATGGAGGCTTACCCATGGTCAGTTTCTGACCCACTTACACTCAGGTCCTTTCCCCAGCCCTTGGCTCTCTGTGACTTCTTCCTGGTCTGGCTTGAATTATCATGGTTCTCATTCTGGCATATTCCTCAATTCCTACTCCTCCTATAGGAAGCTGACCTTGATCAAGTAAGCCAGAGAACTATCTAGTCTTCAGGTCCAAGACTCCTATTGAATAATGCTTTCCCTGTGGTCAACCCTCTATTAGGAAGAGGGAATATTTCACTCTGGGCCTCTGAACCTCCTCTAAGGAGTCTCATGCTTTGAGCAGCTTTTCCCAGGCTAGAGCCAAAACTGCGATCCCATCCTACCCTGCTTGTTCGGGTAGGTTGCTGAATGTGTCTTATTTTCTAATGGAAGAAAAGAGAAGCTGGAAAAGCCTTCTAAATGCACACAAGGTGCTAGATGCCTTGTTTGGTGGTAAAATCTCATTTAATTCTCTGGGCCACAGGGGCAGTGGGTGCTAATTATTAGAATTGAATATCAAATTTGTGGAAGTATTTGGTTGAGGTTGCACAGCAATTAAATGGCCATGATTTGAATCTATGTTTTCTGAATTTTTTGCACTTTTTAAGTTGTTTGCACTGAATCTAGGAAGGGTGACGCTAGCCCCCCTAGCTGAACCAATTCCACTCGACACTTGTCTTTCTTAAACCAAACTTATCTTTAGGATATAGTGTTGCATCCATAGCACATTCTGAGTGACAAGTGCCACTGGTGCTGTCACCCTATGTGGCCAGGGAGATAATCAGTAAGTGGCTATGTATGATCAGTCAGCCCGAATGGAGGTTTCGGCCATCAGTCCCGAGATAGGTGCTGAGAACGGCATTTAATGGGAGGTGCACTGAGCCAGCAGAGAGCAGTCTCCTAAGGGTTATCCCTTTAGTTGGAACACAGATTCTGGCCAGAACCACTAGACTTCTGTACTACCCTCCCTGAGGGCATCTCAGGCAAGCTCCCACCTTTACTTGTAGAGGTTTGAGCCTTAGATTCAGACACACCTGAGTCTTTAACCACTCAGAGCCTCAGTTTTTCCACCTGACAAATGGAAATAGGTAACTTTCAGTAAATACTAGTTTTCATTCTCTGCCCTCCATGTCTTCCATGGGGAATTCAGTGATCCTACTCTAAGAGATCCTTAAAACTCAGGCTTTTAAAAATATACCCTAAGACACCACCCAGAGCGTGAGCTGATGGTACCACCTCAGGAAGGACAGTACACTAGGAGGCTGAGGGCACCTTTTTCTGGACTGGCTCTGAGGAGCAGAGATAATTCCATTATGCCTGAATTTTCACTCCCATTTCCAGTATCTCCATCACATAAGTACTGTGAAGCTCAGACATGTAACTCCAGCCCCTTTCCCGGTCAGGCAAGGTGTGCCTGTCCTCAGTCACTCCTGGATAGAATCCTCTGCTGGGAAGCAGGAGTGGAGCCTGGATTCGGGTGAGTGAGAAAAGGCATTATCGCCACAGTTTCTCCATAAGAAAGTCACAGAAAGACAAATAATGCAGGCTGTGCCCCATGTCTGCTGGTCTTGGCTGGTGGGCAGCACAGTGGTGAACACCTGTGGCTCCAGTGTCAGCCAGAAGGGCTTGAATCTTGGCTCTGCTATTTGTTGTGACATGTGTTATCTGACACAAATTTCCAGGCCCGGCCACTTTGCTCAGTCCCAGCAGGGCTTCTATTTGGATCTCTTTCCCTTTCCCTCTTTCCAAGCACCAAAGCGAGGTCAGGAATTCCCTTACCAGGCAGCTGTTGAGACTCCGTTAGAGCAAGTCTTTCTGGCCTTCAGGCAGGACTTTCAGGCAGCGCATGGTTTTCTGAGTCCCCAGGTTTCTCTCCATCCTCTGCCCTGACTCCTTGGATGTGGGTCCACAGCCAAACTACAGCCCTCTCTTGGGGAGGGCGGGAGCTGCCAAACCTGCTGGGCAGAAACAGATGTGGGTGGAGCTCGCAGCTCAGTAAGGCTCTGACTGGTGGGCCTGGTGTCTGTGGGAATTGCCCATCTCTTGCTTATGGCTGTTGGCTGCCTAGGGTGGGGGTTGATTCTGAGTTTGTGTTTTAGTCATGGACCCCAGCTAGGAGATATCCTGAGATCAAAACCCATGAGAGTCAGGTCAAATGGGAGATGCACCCACCATTCCAGGCTCTGAATGTGGCATCCTGGTGTGATGGAGTGGGAGTTAGCAGCAGACCTTGGGCATGCCACTCACTTCCCATCCATAAAAAGAGAACTCCACTCTTCTCTGATTTCTACTGTTACATTTTAAGAGCTTTGGGTGGGGGGGGATCAGCAGAAAGCCTATTCAATGTTAAAGGAGCCTTTCATATCCCAGGACATAGGGCTTTCCAGACTGGGAAGTTTCAAAGCGATACATGGAGGCCAGGAGAATGGAGGATAGAGGCTCCTCAGGCCAACCCAGGAAGGGCAGAAGAAATTTGGCTGTATTTCTCTATCCTCCTCCTGCCCCACTCGAGCCCGCACACAGAGGACTCTAACTCCCTGCAAAGTCCCTTTAGGGGCATCCCAGAGATGGAGGGCTTCTTCCTCCATGATCAACCAAACCTGCTTCGACAGGGTTCGCTGCGTCCTAAGTCCCTCCTCATCATAGCCAGTGGCCCAAACTCATTGGTGGCTCCAGCCTTGTGGGATAGGCACAGGGAATTCCTCTGAGGCTGGGCCTTGCACCCCAAGAGAGCTGGGAGCCATGAGGGAGTCAGATAGTGGGGTAGGGAGAGAGCTGAGGCTGTGGCACGATGCCCAGAGACACCTCCTTTTCTCTTGGTCATGGCTGAGCTCCTGCCAGACCCCTGCCAGTCCTGGAGGGGGGACACGGGAGACAGAGAAAGGCGAGAGGGTGAGCAAATGGCGTTGCGAGAAGGGGAGGGCGTCAGTGTATAGTGCACCCTGGGTGCCTTTGGCCCCAAACCAACTTCCTTAGTACACCTCTGGATCCTGGCCAGCCTCGAAAACATTTCTATGTGGGCTGGCAAAGAGAAAGCACTTTCCTTTCTCCAGAGAGGCCTCACTTTCATCTGGGAACCTCACAGGCAGCTAGAACAGGAATGGCTGAGGAGCCGGTTTCAGGTTCTCAATCAACAGTGGTTTGGGGCTTTTCTCAGTATTTCTTTCTAAGACGTTCTCACACAGAACAAAGGCAATTCAGAGCTGGGAGGTGGGGGTGGGAGGGGGTGTACTCTGAGTCAGAAACAGTGAGACTTGGATGAAAGAACCTGGGCTGGTTGGCTGCATGGCTCTGGGCAAGTTGCTTAACCTCTCTGGATGGTGGCTTCTTATCTGGCCAATGGGGACGAGGGTTTCTCATAGCGTTGCTGCAAGGAATTCACAATGACAGGTTTGGTGGCATTTCTGATCTACAGGCCAGTATCTGGCTCACTGTAGGTGTCAACACATCATTCTCTTTTCCTTGATGTTAGTGTCTTCCCATGCTTGTACTTATCTGTCCAACCCTCTATCCAAATATGTATCTATCTATTCATTATCTGTCTCTATCATTAATCTATCATCTATTAATCCAGCCATCTATTTCTGTCATTAATAGATCTATCTTCATCATTATTATCTACCAGATATCTGTCTATTCTGTGTGTAATCTTCCCAAATCAGATTGCTATTACTTTCATTGCTAGGGCCTTGAATTATACTTCTATGCAGAGTTCAGTAAATACATTAATAGCCTGATAATACCCGAGGGCCAGGGCAAACCAGATTCTTAAGTTAATAAAGTAGGTATGATAAGAGGTCTTATCTCCAAGTTTCAAACAATGCTTTAGCCAGCTTTTTCTTAGATTTCTCTTAGATCAATGGAAGCAATGTCTACGGTGAGAAGTTTCCTTGGAAACTAGGTTTTTCTTCCAGTGGTCCTAGGCTTCTTGCTCCTTAGCTCCAGAACCTTCAACAACCTCTGCCCCATCCAGGAAACTTTGTTTCCAAGCATGACCTCTAGTCTCAGGATACCTGAGGTCAGTGGTATTTCAGGGTGTTCAACTATGCCGAAATACCACCCACAGGGTGCTTCTCTCAGTATCCACCTCCTACTCCACACGGCTATACACCCTCCTAGAATGTGTCCCAGAAAAACAAAGGCCGGTAAGTCTGTATGTCTTGCCTTGTACTCAGTCATGATGCACACAGGATGCTAAGAGTTCATAATAATACCATGCATTTATATAGTGCTTTGCAGTTTTTAGAGCCTGTGTGTGTACCGTATCTTATTTGAGTGGCATAACAAACAATCCTGCAAAGCAAGCTGAACTTGTGTCTTTATTGTCATTTTGCAGATGAAGAAGCTCTGTTAGAATCACTCAGCTTAAATGGTGGAGCCAGCATGGACTGGAACCCAGGTCTTATAATTGTGAGTCAGCTGCTTGCTTCTCACATCCATTCAATGATGGTGGGGAGGACAGAGGACAGAGTTCAAGTAAAGCAGGGGACAGAGACAGGCTTTAATCTTTCCCTCACCTGGGAGGCTACAGGGGGAAGAGATGACTCTGCTCCTGCACTTCTCAGGAAATGCTGCCTGGCAGGACCAGATAGATGCCCACCCCACCTACAATGCCAGCTGGAAACCCTAGGACTATATCACCCTTCTTTTTTCCCTCTTCCCCCCTCAATACTGGGTGACTCCCACTCTTGATGACCTTCCCATTCTGTCTTATCTGCCATTGCCTACCTCAGGGGTCCTCAAACTTTTTAAACAGGGGGCCAGTTCACTGTCCCTCAGACCATTGGAGGGCCAGACTGCAGGGCCCAGGACAAGTTGGCTGCTAAGCAGGGCAGGCAGCGGTGGCAAAAACACCCAGTGGGCCGGATAAATGTCCTAGGCCAGCCACATGTGGCTAGTGGGCCATAGTTTGAGGACGCCTGACCTCAACATCTCCTCACCTTGGAAATTGAGGTCTCTAAAAAGAGGTGTGAAGACAATAGGTTCCAGGCAAGATGAGCCTCTGAGTGTGGAGAGAAAATATGAGAACATCTATGGCTTCACAGAAATGGGGAAGATTACTAATATTTACTATGTTCATGGGTACTGGCTGCTCACTGGTCTGTTGGTCAGACTGTCCAAGGTCACTCACTAATGGGCTGCACCACATGAACCTGGGAGTGAGCTGCCGCCTCCCACATGGAGGCACGGCCCCACAATCCTTTGCTTTTAGTGCAATTTGACCTTCTGCAGCTTTTGTGGGCTGGGTTAAATGGATTTATGAATTGTTCTCACTGAGTTAGCCCTAATTAAGTGGACACATGGCTTTAAAAAGAAAGGAAGGAAGGAAAGAACAAAGTGCAAAAAAAAAAAAATCTCTGAAAGAACATAGCAGGAACAAGGCAAATAGCAAGCCGGTGGTAGCCCTGGTACCTCACTCATCTTAACCCAATGAAACACTTCCGAATGAAGAGTTTTGGTGGTTTTATTAAAAATATAAAAGTGCAAGTAGCAAGTTTCAAGAAAAATTGATCAACATCACAGAAGATAGAAATTTACTAAGAAATTGACCAGCTAAATTTAAACAAAACGTTTTACATAGTTGGTAAGACTGAAGTATTATTTTAGTAGACACAGCCAGTGCAGTACTTTTTCCATTTGGACCTCTGCACCTTTAGTGAGGTATCTTTTTTTTTCTCAATTCTAAAAGCTTTTGGAACCAAGTATGAATACAATTTGAACTTAAAACCATACCTTCTGAATGTTCTACTTCAAAAATGTTAATATGAACGTGACAAAACATATCAACTACATCGCACTCACTGCAAATATTACTTCTCATAATAATGTCTTTCTGCAAAAAGGGTGTTTTTTTGGCATGGTTAACAAAATAAAAGCTTGAAAAAGTAGCGTTATTTCATCTTTGTCTCATCCATTTAAAAGCTTCTTTCTGTGTATATCTTATCTCACATGCACACACTATACTAAGACATAGACATGTAGGTGGTGTCTAAGTAAATACATGTACATACAATGAAGGTATAGAATCAAAAATACGGAGACAGTTGAGGGTAATCCTTAAGGGTATTGAGGAATTTCCTCACTGCTCTTTTTGCTTTTTCTGTATTCCCCTCTTTTCCACCACATATCACTAGACTGATCTTCATTTCAGAAGAGATCGAGTGACTTGTCTGATTCAGGTCTCTGTTGAGTTGCCTTCTAGAAAGGGTGACAGTCCTAATGACTCTCAGGGGCTGGGTGGGTAATTTGATGTATGAAGAAGGCTGAGTGTAAGGAGTGGAGGGGACAGTGGCAAATGAGAGTTCTCTGCCCACAGATATTCCAATTCAAACAAGTTTAAACCCTAGACAGGCAACAGAGTGGATCGCTGTGGCCTGGATCTTATTTCTGGGCTGGCAACTGTAAGCTCTGAACAGGTCAAGGCTAAGCTTGTTATGATGGAAAGCAACCGTGCATCACTCCCAAAGGTCTCTTGCTGCTTCCTCTCAAACACTTTTTACATTGTGGTCATTTCCAGTTTGTGCTGATCTTTGCGCTGTAATATTTCCTCTTTCTGGCCAAGTAAGTTTCAGTTAAAGTACACCTGGCTCTGACATTATCTCCATGGAGCTCCTCAACTGCCCAGGTAACTTCCTGTCCCTGTGTTGCCCTCGCACAGTGCTCTTAGTGGACATTATGGAGCTCGAAGATCATGGGCCTGCCTGTCTCCACCACTAAGCTGAGGCACCCTGAGGTTAGGTACCTAGCCTATTAACTGGTTCATCCCCAATACCAAGGTCAGGGTGCAGGTCAAATACTGGATCTTCAAAAGTTCTACTGAGCCAATGAATGAAGGAATCAATCAATGGCACCTGTATGCCTGGGTAACAGTAGTCTGATTTGAGCTTCTTCTATTTGCTTCTAATTCCTAATAAT